GGGGACTCGTGATGGTCGCATTCTCGCGTTGCCAATGTTCTTGGTTCGGACAAAATTTCTCCTGGTAAAATGTCCACGCGTCGATCAATTTCTTCAGTTTCGTCCAACTCTTGTATAGGGGAAGCGGCACATCGTGACTCATCTTCTCCACTGCTTTGTCCATCTCCTCCCTAGTAACGGACATTTCCCCGTCAAACATATATTCCAATAATACGTGTAGCGGTACCTCATCGTCATTCTCCTCAAGTCTGACTCGCTTCTTCTCTGGCATTTCCCGCTCCATCTATGAAAAAAAAAAAAAAAAAAATTTGGCAAAGTCTAAAGAGCATTCGAGAGGCAAAGTCCCTAAATTAAAAACTTAGTCTCAAAAATGCTCAATAGAGCAGAGTCAAAGTTTTTGCAGGCTCACCATCCAAGGGGGCAGGCAGTCCAGGCAGTCCAGGCAGCAGGCAGTCCTTCCAGGCAGGCAGGCAGGCAGGCAGGCAGGAGGTCTTGTCCCTTCGAGTCCTCGGCGAAGACTGAATTTTCGAGCCGAAGGCAGCTCCTTTTATATCGTGCGGTTGGCCTTCGCGACCTGGATAAACCGGTTAGCGTCCTTGGTGACGCCCAAAACCAGTTCTGGTAGTTGCCTATATAATGAGCGAGCTAACCCTACTAAACCTCAGTCTACTACGACGACTCGGACGGGAAGGATGGACCCTCTGCCAGGACCAAGCAGCAGCACTAGTAGTGGCCAGGCTGGTGGTGGAGAGAAGGACGGAGGACTGGGGGCTAATATTCGGCGCATCTTATTGGTGAGTCCTGTTAATGACTAATTAGTTGATTAATTAGTAATTAGTTAATTAATTAATTAATTAAAAAAAAAAAAATTAAAAAAAAAAAAAAAAATTAAAAAAAAAAAAAAAAATTAAAAAAAAAATTAAAAAAAAAAAAAAAAAAATTGGATGTCGTTGCAGTTGTCGTAGCTAAGTATAAAAGAGTTATATATATATATATATATCTTCTTTAGGATACCGACGACGACGACGACGACATGAAGATTGAGGATTCCCCCGTGTCCAGGGCAATCGAGTGCTCCCTGGATTTCAAGGAGGATTTTCTCCGATTGGTCGTCGATAAACTCGTCGAGTTTGGAAAGAGGGAAGTCGAAGCACGCATGCATAAGGAGAGGGTAAAAGCGCAGAAGACACAAGAAGAAAATCTTAAGGAAAGGGATATTTGTGCCAAGGTGCTTCGAGGCAATTACGATCATCTGGTCATTGTTCGGAGAGAAGATGAAAGCGAAAATGATTACTGTCAGCGGATGGTACGAGCAATGGACGAAGAATGGGACAGAGTAGTCAATTGGTTGACGAATAACGAGATATGCAGGCGATGTGGGTACAAGAAACAATAAAAAGTTTCTTTATTATGGCTTGAATGGTACAGAGAGTAACTTGGCAGTTCCGGCAGATTCGTGATATGTGTAGTGGCCCAAGTGTGTTTGTCGGTTAGCTGGGATATACTTGTTTACCTTAGTTTTGGTAAAGTGTTGGTGGCACGCGCTGTTAATTTTTTGCATGGGCGATATTGTATCGTTGCTCGAGTGAAGCACCAGTTCTGTGTCCACCTGGAAAAATGCCGACACGTCTTGAAATTTATCGTTGCTGCCCGGAGAATCGATCGATTTTTTGCTTACTGCCAAAATTCCAAAACCCACGCTAGGTTGCGCCTTGCTGCAATTGGGGGGATTGTGTATTAAACCTTGGTGGCTGTGTTCGCGCTCGATGGGCCTGTCGTACTCGCTGTCAAAATCCTCTCGCTGTAGCATTATTACGGAATTTTGCACGCTGGTGTCCTTGATTGTAGAGTCCAGGGTCGAAAGTTGTTTTCCCATTACGGTCGAAGGGGCGGCTATGTACGTGTTGGAATCCCCACACATTGGGGCGCACGTACGCAGCCAGCCGTTTTGAAAAGTGTAATCGTAATTAATTATGGGAGTGCCAACGTGACTTTTGAAGGGGAAAGTGTTAATAAACTTGTTGGTGCGGGGTGCAAAGTCGGCACAATGAATAAAGTCGTAACAGTTGTTGTGCCGCGGTACCCCCATGCACGTGGGGATTGTGTCGGATTTTGTTAAAGTGCCGCTACTGTCCATGCTTACGCCCCAGTACTTTTCGATCAAGAGGCGATGGTCGTTTGTGTGAAACTCGCTCGGTTCCGTCGTTACCATTTGATTGTCTGTCGTGCCCGTGCCCGGCTTGGCCATGCCCGTGTCCAGGTACAAGTTTAATCCCACCGAACTCACCCCGTACACCAACATGTCTGAATTGACCGGCTGTACTACGGTAGATCCAGTTTTCCAGGGAGTGCGGATGCCGTGAGGCGTTATTTTTGCGCGGCAAGAAAGGGCTTTGGTGTCTGGAGGCAGCGATTTAAAAGTGCCCGGTGTAATATAGAGGTAGGGAAACTCGACGGGCAGGCGAGACATGGACGTAAAGTAGCCGTAATACTTTTTGTCGTGCGTGTACGTTATCTTCGTTAACACGGTGGCGTACCCCCAGGTGGTAAGTAATTTACTGTCACTATACACTGAAACCACTCCTTGGTCTCTGGGGACGCGCAAAATTTGCTGTACGACGACTCCTTCATTTTGAGTATTACTTCCAATTCCTGCTCCTCCGGGCCCACGTTGGGTGAGTTCTTGCGAGGTCTCCTGGTCCGTTGGGCACGGGTCTGCGTTGCTTGTTGACGAATCTGCTGCGGCTCCGCTTCCGGAGTAAAGGGCTCGCTCGATGAAGTTGACGACTGAATCTCCATAGAGCCGCTTGAAGTCAGGTGATGACCCGCTATCGTGACCACGTTTCCGTCCGGACATGTTTTCCCCTCCTCCATAGAGTGTACGGCCGAGAGCCTTTTCCTTTACTAGGTTTTTAAAACCGAGCCCAGCTGCACCAACGAGAGAGTGCCACGAACCCCGGTCGCTCCAATCACTTACAAAGTCGCCGATGGCCTTGTGATCGGCTGTAAAGATGTCTTGGTCGCTAGTTGCCTTGGAATAGTCGTGATCGTGCTGCCGGGCTATCCAATCGTCTCTGTCCACAGGTTGGCCGTTGTCTAAGGGGTTCCCGGGTCCCAAGTAGCGATGACCTGGAAAGAGAGGCATGCCTGATTGAAATAAACATGCGGTCTTATGAACGGCGTCTACAACAACGACGCCATTAAAAGCCACCCCCCAATTAACGCCCGCTATTTAAACGAGTAACCTAACCTAACCTAACCTAACCCAACCCAACCTAACCTAACCTAACCTAACCCAACCTAACCTAACCTAACCTAACCTAACCTAACCTAACCTAACCGAACCTAACCTAACCTAACCTAACCTAACCTAACCTAACACAACACAACACATCACAACACACCACAACACAACACAACCCAACACAACCCAACACAACACAACACATGTCGTCGTAGCAGTTGAAGAACCAGACAGCAAGACTAACCTAACCTAACCTAACCTAACCTAACCCAACCCAACCCAACCCAACCCAACCCAACCTAACCCAACCTAACCTAACCTAACCTAACCTAACCTAACCTAACCCAACCCAACCCAACCCAACCCAACCCAACCTAACCCAACCTAACCTAACCTAACCTAACCTAACCTAACCTAACCTAACCCAACCCAACCCAACCCAACCTAACCTAACCTAACCTAACCTAACCTAACCTAACCCAACCCAACCCAACCCAACCTAACCTAACCTAACCTAACCTAACCTAACCTAACCCAACCCAACCCAACCTAACCTAACCTAACCTAACCTAACCTAACCCAACCCAACCCAACCCAACCTAACCTAACCTAACCTAACCTAACCTAACCCAACCCAACCCAACCCAACCCAACCTAACCTAACCTAACCTAACCTAACCTAACCTAACCCAACCTAACCCAACCTAACCCAACCTAACCCAACCTAACCCAACCCAACCCAACCTAACCTAACCCAACCCAACCCAACCCAACCCAACCCAACCCAACCCAACCTAACCTAACCTAACCTAACCTAACCTAACCCAACCTAACCCAACCTAACCCAACCTAACCCAACCTAACCTAACCTAACCCAACCCAACCCAACCCAACCTAACCTAACCTAACCTAACCCAACCCAACCCAACCTAACCTAACCTAACCTAACCTAACCCAACCCAACCCAACCTAACCCAACCTAACCTAACCTAACCTAACCTAACCTAACCCAACCCAACCCAACCCAACCTAACCCAACCCAACCTAACCTAACCTAACCTAACCCAACCCAACCTAACCTAACCTAACCCAACCTAACCCAACCCAACCTAACCTAACCTAACCTAACCTAACCTTACCTTACCTAACCTAACCTAACCTAACCCAACCTAACCCAACCTAACCTAACCCAACCCAACCCAACCTAACCCAACCTAACCTAACCTAACCTAACCTAACCTAACCTAACCTAACCCAACCTAACCCAACCCAACCCAACCCAACCTAACCTAACCCAACCCAACCCAACCCAACCTAACCTAACCCAACCCAACCCAACCCAACCCAACCTAACCTAACCTAACCTAACCTAACCCAACCCAACCCAACCCAACCTAACCTAACCTAACCTAACCTAACCTAACCTAACCTAACCCAACCTAACCCAACCTAACCTAACCCAACCCAACCTAACCTAACCTAACCCAACCCAACCCAACCCAACCCAACCCAACCCAACCCAACCTAACCTAACCTAACCTAACCCAACCCAACCCAACCCAACCCAACCCAACCCAACCCAACCTAACCTAACCTAACCTAACCTAACCTAACCCAACCTAACCTAACCCAACCCAACCCAACCCAACCCAACCCAACCTAACCTAACACAACACAACACAACACAACACAAAACAACACAACACATGTCGTCGTAGCAGTTGAAGAACCAGACAGCAAGACCGTGTTGGCTAGATAAAAAAAGGCACTTTATTGAACACGGCGCGTGGCAGTATACTCGTGATCGTCGAGGTAGGCATCAAATAAATTAATCAACGCAAGTGGATTAACCTTCTTGTCATACTTTAGCAATTCTGGACAAGTTTTCCACCTGTACCTAAACATCCTGTGGTTAAACGCTGGAATGCGCGGAAAAGTCTCGTGGTTACTCAAAACAATCACGGGAGTGCGTGTTACAGTCATGTCGCTCGAATACTTTACCGCTACACTGTCTACATCACCCCCAAAAATTTTCTTTATTGTTTCAAATGCGCTCGATTCGCAATTTGGTTCGTTCCATATCAAAATGCGCTTGCCCACGGCATCTTGCAATGGAAAACTAGAATACTTGTTAAAGTTGTGTATAGTGCCCCTGTTTATATAAAAACTGACAACGGCATCAAAGAAAAAGTTTTTTCCAGCACTTGGAGGGGATACAATCTCCATGCAATTCTTCTTGGGTACGCGCCTTTCGAGTAGGTTATACAAGTTGGTTACAAAGTCTGGAACTTCGGGTCCCAATTGATATTCCAGCAGCTCTACAATGGCTGCAAACGAAGACGGCACATCCATATAATATTGGCTAATGTTGCCATGTGGTGCGTCAAACAGAGGGTTAGTCTTTTGATACAGAGATATATAGTCCAAAGTGGTCCAGTTACACAATTGTTCATTCAAAACTTGAATGGCACGTTGCAGGCGCTTGTCATCTAGGCGTATGAATCGCAAGTCCGCACGTTCTAACCACATTGGAGTTCGAGTAATGTTCGTCAGCGGCGAGACCGGGTTCTGGGAGAGGATGAGAAAGAGTGACTCCTCTGTATGGTGTGCTTTCTCACATCTTCTGGTTTCACGTGGAGTAGTTTCCGTTGCGTATACTTGCGAAGTGTTCGGATGGCCTCCAACACTTCGGGTGCAGTCGTCGCATGCACTTGGACCTTGAAATGCTCCAAATAATACCTCCACTGCTCCTGCGGTTCCACATCTGCAATGTCTTGGGAGTTCCAATACCTCAGCTCCAATGTATTCGAGCCAACTGGTTCCTGCCACATTAAGGTACTCCAACCGGCGGGGCTCTTTATTAAGATAGTCGACGAGGCGGAAATAGTGTTACAAGACCAAACCGAAGAGCGATTGGTGTTACAAGACCATTGGTGTTACAAGACCAAACCGAAGAGCGATTTGGTCTTCTGCGGAACCCTGCAAAGGCGACACATCTACACGTTCCGTTGCTCCACGAGCAATCGTGGACGACGTGCAAGTGCGGCCGTCTACATCCCGAGATGTGGAAGGAGATGGCGGCAAAGGCATATCCTGCTCTGGGTTCTTCAAGGCGCTTAGACAAAGTAAAATAAGACTCCTGAGCTTCTCCATATGATCCAACGGTAATGACATCATGCACAATTCTTCTTCGTTTTGGAACGCGTCGTAACTCTTCTGCCCATCGGGGCAATAGTGGAGGGGACTCGTGATGGTCGCATTCTCGCGTTGCCAATGTTCTTGGTTCGGACAAAATTTCTCCTGGTAAAATGTCCACGCGTCGATCAATTTCTTCAGTTTCGTCCAACTCTTGTATAGGGGAAGCGGCACATCGTGACTCATCTTCTCCACTGCTTTGTCCATCTCCTCCCTAGTAACGGACATTTCCCCGTCAAACATATATTCCAATAATACGTGTAGCGGTACCTCATCGTCATTCTCCTCAAGTCTGACTCGCTTCTTCTCTGGCATTTCCCGCTCCATCTATGAAAAAAAAAAAAAAATTTGGCAAAGTCTAGAGAGCATTCGAGAGGCAAAGTCCCTAAATTAAAAAACTTAGTCTCAAAAATGCTCAATAGAGCAGAGTCAAAGTTTTTGCAGGCTCACCATCCAAGGGGGCAGGCAGTCCAGGCAGTCCAGGCAGGCAGTCCTTCCAGGCAGGCAGGCAGGCAGGCAGGCAGGAGGTCTTGTCCCTTCGAGTCCTCGGCGAAGACTGAATTTTCGAGCCGAAGGCAGCTCCTTTTATATCGTGCGGTTGGCCTTCGCGACCTGGATAAACCGGTTAGCGTCCTTGGCGACGCCCAAAACCAGTTCTGCTAGTTGCCTATATAATGAGCGAGCTAACCCTACTAAACCTCAGTCTACTACGACGACTCGGACGGGAAGGATGGACCCTCTGCCAGGACCAAGCAGCACTAGTAGTGGCCAGGCTGGTGGTGGAGAGAAGGACGGAGGACTGGGGGCTAATATTCGGCGCATCTTATTGGTGAGTCCTGTTAATGACTAATTAGTTGATTAATTAGTAATTAGTTAATTAATTAATTAATTAACTAAAAAAAAAAAAAAAAAAAAAATTAAAAAAAAAATTGGATGTCGTTGCAGTTGTCGTAGCTAAGTATAAAAGAGTTATATATATATATATATCTTCTTTAGGATACCGACGACGACGACGACGACATGAAGATTGAGGATTCCCCCGTGTCCAGGGCAATCGAGTGCTCCATGGATTTCAAGGAGGATTTTCTCCGATTGGTCGTCGATAAACTCGTCGAGTTTGGAAAGAGGGAAGTCGAAGCACGCATGCATAAGGAGAGGGTAAAAGCGCAGAAGACACAAGAAGAAAATCTTAAGGAAAGGGATATTTGTGCCAAGGTGCTTCGAGGCAATTACGATCATCTGGTCATTGTTCGGAGAGAAGATGAAAGCGAAAATGATTACTGTCAGCGGATGGTACGAGCAATGGACGAAGAATGGGACAGAGTAGTCAATTGGTTGACGAATAACGAGATATGCAGGCGATGTGGGTACAAGAAACAATAAAAAGTTTCTTTATTATGGCTTGAATGGTACAGAGAGTAACTTGGCAGTTCCGGCAGATTCGTGATATGTGTAGTGGCCCAAGTGTGTTTGTCGGTTAGCTGGGATATACTTGTTTACCTTAGTTTTGGTAAAGTGTTGGTGGCACGCGCTATTAATTTTTTGCATGGGCGATATTGTATCGTTGCTCGAGTGAAGCACCAGTTCTGTGTCCACCTGGAAAAATGCCGACACGTCTTGAAATTTATCGTTGCTGCCCGGAGAATCGATCGATTTTTTGCTTACTGCCAAAATTCCAAAGCCCACGCTTGGCTGCGCCTTGCTGCAATTGGGGGGATTGTGTATTAAACCCTGGTGGCTGTGTTCGCGCTCGATGGGCCTGTCGTACTCGCTGTCAAAATCCTCTCGCTGTAGCATTATTACGGAATTTTGCACGCTGGTGTCCTTGATTGTAGAGTCCAGGGTCGAAAGTTGTTTTCCCATTACGGTCGAAGGGGCGGCTATGTACGTGTTGGAATCCCCACACATTGGGGCGCACGTACGCAGCCAGCCGTTTTGAAAAGTGTAATCGTAATTAATTATGGGAGTGCCAACGTGACTTTTGAAGGGGAAAGTGTTAATAAACTTGTTGGTGCGGGGTGCAAAGTCGGCACAATGAATAAAGTCGTAACAGTTGTTGTGCCGCGGTACCCCCATGCACGTGGGGATTGTGTCGGATTTTGTTAAAGTGCCGCTACTGTCCATGCTTACGCCCCAGTACTTTTCGATCAAGAGGCGATGGTCGTTTGTGTGAAACTCGCTCGGTTCCGTCGTTACCATTTGATTGTCTGTCGTGCCCGTGCCCGGCTTGGCCATGCCCGTGTCCAGGTACAAGTTTAATCCCACCGAACTCACCCCGTACACCAACATGTCTGAATTGACCGGCTGTACTACGGTGGATCCAGTTTTCCAGGGAGTGCGGATGCCGTGAGGCGTTATTTTTGCGCGGCAAGAAAGGGCTTTGGTGTCTGGAGGCAGCGATTTAAAAGTGCCCGGTGTAATATAGAGGTAGGGAAACTCGACGGGCAGGCGAGACATGGACGTAAAGTAGCCGTAATACTTTTTGTCGTGCGTGTACGTTATCTTCGTTAACACGGTGGCGTACCCCCAGGTGGTAAGTAATTTACTGTCACTATACACTGAAACCACTCCTTGGTCTCTGGGGACGCGCAAAATTTGCTGTACGACGACTCCTTCATTTTGAGTATTACTTCCAACCTAACCTAACCTAACCTAACCTAACCTAACCTAACCTAACCGATTGTCTGTCGTGCCCGTGCCCGGCTTGGCCATGCCCGTGTCCAGGTACAAGTTTAATCCCACCGAACTCACCCCGTACACCAACATGTCTGAATTGACCGGCTGTACTACGGTGGATCCAGTTTTCCAGGGAGTGCGGATGCCGTGAGGCGTTATTTTTGCGCGGCAAGAAAGGGCTTTGGTGTCTGGAGGCAGCGATTTAAAAGTGCCCGGTGTAATATAGAGGTAGGGAAACTCGACGGGCAGGCGAGACATGGACGTAAAGTAGCCGTAATACTTTTTGTCGTGCGTGTACGTTATCTTCGTTAACACGGTGGCGTACCCCCAGGTGGTAAGTAATTTACTGTCACTATACACTGAAACCACTCCTTGGTCTCTGGGGACGCGCAAAATTTGCTGTACGACGACTCCTTCATTTTGAGTATTACTTCCAACCTAACCTAACCTAACCTAACCTAACCTAACCTAACCTAACCTAACCCAACCTAACCTAACCCAACCCAACCCAACCCAACCTAACCTAACACAACACAACACAACACAACACAACACAAAACAACACAACACATGTCGTCGTAGCAGTTGAAGAACCAGACAGCAAGACCGTGTTGGCTAGATAAAAAAAGGCACTTTATTGAACACGGCGCGTGGCAGTATACTCGTGATCGTCGAGGTAGGCATCAAATAAATTAATCAACGCAAGTGGATTAACCTTCTTGTCATACTTTAGCAATTCTGGACAAGTTTTCCACCTGTACCTAAACATCCTGTGGTTAAACGCTGGAATGCGCGGAAAAGTCTCGTGGTTACTCAAAACAATCACGGGAGTGCGTGTTACAGTCATGTCGCTCGAATACTTTACCGCTACACTGTCTACATCACCCCCAAAAATTTTCTTTATTGTTTCAAATGCGCTCGATTCGCAATTTGGTTCGTTCCATATCAAAATGCGCTTGCCCACGGCATCTTGCAATGGAAAACTAGAATACTTGTTAAAGTTGTGTATAGTGCCCCTGTTTATATAAAAACTGACAACGGCATCAAAGAAAAAGTTTTTTCCAGCACTTGGAGGGGATACAATCTCCATGCAATTCTTCTTGGGTACGCGCCTTTCGAGTAGGTTATACAAGTTGGTTACAAAGTCTGGAACTTCGGGTCCCAATTGATATTCCAGCAGCTCTACAATGGCTGCAAACGAAGACGGCACATCCATATAATATTGGCTAATGTTGCCATGTGGTGCGTCAAACAGAGGGTTAGTCTTTTGATACAGAGATATATAGTCCAAAGTGGTCCAGTTACACAATTGTTCATTCAAAACTTGAATGGCACGTTGCAGGCGCTTGTCATCTAGGCGTATGAATCGCAAGTCCGCACGTTCTAACCACATTGGAGTTCGAGTAATGTTCGTCAGCGGCGAGACCGGGTTCTGGGAGAGGATGAGAAAGAGTGACTCCTCTGTATGGTGTGCTTTCTCACATCTTCTGGTTTCACGTGGAGTAGTTTCCGTTGCGTATACTTGCGAAGTGTTCGGATGGCCTCCAACACTTCGGGTGCAGTCGTCGCATGCACTTGGACCTTGAAATGCTCCAAATAATACCTCCACTGCTCCTGCGGTTCCACATCTGCAATGTCTTGGGAGTTCCAATACCTCAGCTCCAATGTATTCGAGCCAACTGGTTCCTGCCACATTAAGGTACTCCAACCGGCGGGGCTCTTTATTAAGATAGTCGACGAGGCGGAAATAGTCCCATCCATTGGTGTTACAAGACCAAACCGAAGAGCGATTTGGTCTTCTGCGGAACCCTGCAAAGGCGACACATCTACACGTTCCGTTGCTCCACGAGCAATCGTGGACGACGTGCAAGTGCGGCCGTCTACATCCCGAGATGTGGAAGGAGATGGCGGCAAAGGCATATCCTGCTCTGGGTTCTTCAAGGCGCTTAGACAAAGTAAAATAAGACTCCTGAGCTTCTCCATATGATCCAACGGTAATGACATCATGCACAATTCTTCTTCGTTTTGGAACGCGTCGTAACTCTTCTGCCCATCGGGGCAATAGTGGAGGGGACTCGTGATGGTCGCATTCTCGCGTTGCCAATGTTCTTGGTTCGGACAAAATTTCTCCTGGTAAAATGTCCACGCGTCGATCAATTTCTTCAGTTTCGTCCAACTCTTGTATAGGGGAAGCGGCACATCGTGACTCATCTTCTCCACTGCTTTGTCCATCTCCTCCCTAGTAACGGACATTTCCCCGTCAAACATATATTCCAATAATACGTGTAGCGGTACCTCATCGTCATTCTCCTCAAGTCTGACTCGCTTCTTCTCTGGCATTTCCCGCTCCATCTATGAAAAAAAAAAAAAAATTTGGCAAAGTCTAGAGAGCATTCGAGAGGCAAAGTCCCTAAATTAAAAAACTTAGTCTCAAAAATGCTCAATAGAGCAGAGTCAAAGTTTTTGCAGGCTCACCATCCAAGGGGGCAGGCAGTCCAGGCAGTCCAGGCAGCAGGCAGTCCTTCCAGGCAGGCAGGCAGGCAGGCAGGCAGGAGGTCTTGTCCCTTCGAGTCCTCGGCGAAGACTGAATTTTCGAGCCGAAGGCAGCTCCTTTTATATCGTGCGGTTGGCCTTCGCGACCTGGATAAACCGGTTAGCGTCCTTGGCGACGCCCAAAACCAGTTCTGCTAGTTGCCTATATAATGAGCGAGCTAACCCTACTAAACCTCAGTCTACTACGACGACTCGGACGGGAAGGATGGACCCTCTGCCAGGACCAAGCAGCACTAGTAGTGGCCAGGCTGGTGGTGGAGAGAAGGACGGAGGACTGGGGCTGGATATTCGGCGCATCTTATTGGTGGTGGAGAGAAGGACGGAGGACGGAGGACTGGATATTCGGCGCATCTTATTGGTGAGTCCTGTTAATGACTAATTAGTTGATTAATTAGTAATTAGTTAATTAATTAATTAATTAATTAATTAAAAAAAAAAATAAAATAAAAAAAAAATTTAAAAAAAAATTGGATGTCGTTGCAGTTGTCGTAGCTAAGTATAAAAGAGTTATATATATATATATATCTTCTTTAGGATACCGACGACGACGACGACGACATGAAGATTGAGGATTCCCCCGTGTCCAGGGCAATCGAGTGCTCCATGGATTTCAAGGAGGATTTTCTCCGATTGGTCGTCGATAAACTCGTCGAGTTTGGAAAGAGGGAAGTCGAAGCACGCATGCATAAGGAGAGGGTAAAAGCGCAGAAGACACAAGAAGAAAATCTTAAGGAAAGGGATATTTGTGCCAAGGTGCTTCGAGGCAATTACGATCATCTGGTCATTGTTCGGAGAGAAGATGAAAGCGAAAATGATTACTGTCAGCGGATGGTACGAGCAATGGACGAAGAATGGGACAGAGTAGTCAATTGGTTGACGAATAACGAGATATGCAGGCGATGTGGGTACAAGAAACAATAAAAAGTTTCTTTATTATGGCTTGAATGGTACAGAGAGTAACTTGGCAGTTCCGGCAGATTCGTGATATGTGTAGTGGCCCAAGTGTGTTTGTCGGTTAGCTGGGATATACTTGTTTACCTTAGTTTTGGTAAAGTGTTGGTGGCACGCGCTATTAATTTTTTGCATGGGCGATATTGTATCGTTGCTCGAGTGAAGCACCAGTTCTGTGTCCACCTGGAAAAATGCCGACACGTCTTGAAATTTATCGTTGCTGCCCGGAGAATCGATCGATTTTTTGCTTACTGCCAAAATTCCAAAGCCCACGCTTGGCTGCGCCTTGCTGCAATTGGGGGGATTGTGTATTAAACCCTGGTGGCTGTGTTCGCGCTCGATGGGCCTGTCGTACTCGCTGTCAAAATCCTCTCGCTGTAGCATTATTACGGAATTTTGCACGCTGGTGTCCTTGATTGTAGAGTCCAGGGTCGAAAGTTGTTTTCCCATTACGGTCGAAGGGGCGGCTATGTACGTGTTGGAATCCCCACACATTGGGGCGCACGTACGCAGCCAGCCGTTTTGAAAAGTGTAATCGTAATTAATTATGGGAGTGCCAACGTGACTTTTGAAGGGGAAAGTGTTAATAAACTTGTTGGTGCGGGGTGCAAAGTCGGCACAATGAATAAAGTCGTAACAGTTGTTGTGCCGCGGTACCCCCATGCACGTGGGGATTGTGTCGGATTTTGTTAAAGTGCCGCTACTGTCCATGCTTACGCCCCAGTACTTTTCGATCAAGAGGCGATGGTCGTTTGTGTGAAACTCGCTCGGTTCCGTCGTTACCATTTGATTGTCTGTCGTGCCCGTGCCCGGCTTGGCCATGCCCGTGTCCAGGTACAAGTTTAATCCCACCGAACTCACCCCGTACACCAACATGTCTGAATTGACCGGCTGTACTACGGTGGATCCAGTTTTCCAGGGAGTGCGGATGCCGTGAGGCGTTATTTTTGCGCGGCAAGAAAGGGCTTTGGTGTCTGGAGGCAGCGATTTAAAAGTGCCCGGTGTAATATAGAGGTAGGGAAACTCGACGGGCAGGCGAGACATGGACGTAAAGTAGCCGTAATACTTTTTGTCGTGCGTGTACGTTATCTTCGTTAACACGGTGGCGTACCCCCAGGTGGTAAGTAATTTACTGTCACTATACACTGAAACCACTCCTTGGTCTCTGGGGACGCGCAAAATTTGCTGTACGACGACTCCTTCATTTTGAGTATTACTTCCAACCTAACCTAACCTAACCTAACCTAACCCAACCCAACCCAACCCAACCCAACCCAACCTAACCCAACCCAACCCAACCCAACCCAACCCAACCCAACCCAACCCAACCCAACCCAACCCAACCTACCCTACCCTAACCTAACCTAACCAAACCAAACCAAACCAAACCTAACCTAACCTAACCCAACCCAACCCAACCCAACCCAACCCAACCGAACCCAACCCAACCCAACCCAACCCAACCCAACCTAACCTAACCTAACCCAACCCAACCCAACCCAACCCAACCCAACCTAACCTAACCTAACCTAACCTAACCTAACCTAACCTATTGCGGATTCCCTAACAGCGGAACGCGTTTTGGAAAAAAGATAAAGTTCCATAACAGTTCGGACTTGCAACCAACCAGAAACCAGACAAAACAACCACCATCGACGATAGCACAGGTTGAATTTTGAATAATAATTATTTACGTTAAATCCAATAGTCGAAAATGATGGTGTTCTCCAGTGGATTGCATTCCTCCTAACCTTAAAAAAAAAAAAAAATTTTCCGAAAGAGTATTTAAAAGAGAGAGAGAGAGAAGCAAGAAGATAAGGGATAAAAAGACGCGGATAGCCTACGCGCATCGGCGAAACCCTAGCGTCCGTATGTCTCTCAACGCGAAGTCCCTAGCAATCGATAGCATGCATTTAACAAAGAGCTTGGATCATTGGCTTCCAAGAATGGCGGGGAACTGATGCTAGTCTAAACTTTGTGACAAGCCCGAAGGACAGTGAATTGTAGGATGTATAATCAAGTCATCTGAGCCTCCTTGTAAACAGGTGGATGGCAACAAGAAAATATTTAGTCTTCCTTCGACTAAACGTTTTCTTTTCGCTCACTCAGAAAGACGATATACACCGAACGTCTTCAAGCCTTTGGCCCGTGGGGATCGCATACAAAAGGTGAGTTAATCTAGGGCTTTCGTTTTGATTTCACGTTCAGCCACTGCCTAACAAATTTTTTTTTAAATCAAAGGCGCCAACCCCCTAGCCTTACAGATTTAAAATGCGATCAGGGTTGCCAAAAGGATTTAACGTCTCCATGCCCTATTCTACCCATAGCTGACCACGATTTTTCTTTTTTTACATTTGGTGTGTGTGTGTGTCTGTGTGTGTGTTTTCAAGATAGCCTAACAAATTTTGATCATTTTTATGCATGTGTGTAATTTTTTTTTGTTAAGTACGTGGTACCAAGTTAACGTCCCACAACAAATAGAAAAGAAAAAAAACCAATCATTCCAACCCATACACCTAAAATTGGTTGGCATTTTTTCCCTAACAGTTTTTCTTGTTTATTTGTGTTTCCTTTTTTGTCCAGAATATAGTTCCCGGAGACATCCTGGCACTCCCCTACAGTGTCACCTTCCCGCCAAACGGTTGCCCTAACAAAATCGAAAAGCTAGAGAGACAAACGGTCTTAAAACCAAACATCTAAATATATACACGCGAAGAAACAACAACAACAACAACCGCGTCCCTGCCTAGCCGCAAGAAGCTATGGAAACTGTAGGCACCTAATCTCGAGGCGGCCGCGACATCCTGTATGGGACAAAAAACACAGTTAGTACACTTGAGCTAAGCTAGTCCAACCTCCTCCACTCCATCCAACATCCAATTATTTTATTGTTTTTCAATAATTTACGTTTATTCCCTAACACCTAGGCGCATTTCTATAATCGTGGCGGACTGCGTCCGGGGAAAGTGTGAAGAAGCTACAAAAAAAATGTACAAAAAAAAAAAATCCTACCTAAACCAGAAGCTATAAATTCCTAGCAAAAATTACAAAAAAAAAAGAAAAAAGTGTTATACGACACGACGATCCCCAGACAATCAGTACACGGGCCACTTACCTAACAAAAGTATTAATAGAAATTACCTGCCTCACGCGCGCGTAAGCTAAGGAAATTCGCGTACAATAGGGGGGGGGGGGAGAATAAGCCCTGACAGATTAAAAAGAAGGCCACCTCCTCCACTCCGACCGACCACGTCGACAAAAGCTAAAGGCTCTAGCTAAAATGCTATTGCGGATTCCCTAACAGCGGAACGCGTTTTGGAAAAAAGATAAAGTTCCATAACAGTTCGGACTTGCAACCAACCAGAAACCAGACAAAACAACCACCATCGACGATAGCACAGGTTGAATTTTGAATAATAATTATTTACGTTAAATCCAATAGTCGAAAATGATGGTGTTCTCCAGTGGATTGCATTCCTCCTAACCTTAAAAAAAAAAAAAAAAAATTTTCCGAAAGAGTATTTAAAAGAGAGAGAGAGAGAAGCAAGAAGATAAGGGATAAAAAGACGCGGATAGCCTACGCGCATCGGCGAAACCCTAGCGTCCGTATGTCTCTCAACGCGAAGTCCCTAGCAATCGATAGCATGCATTTAACAAAGAGCTTGGATCATTGGCTTCCAAGAATGGCGGGGAACTGATGCTAGTCTAAACTTTGTGACAAGCCCGAAGGACAGTGAATTGTAGGATGTATAATCAAGTCATCTGAGCCTCCTTGTAAACAGGTGGATGGCAACAAGAAAATATTTAGTCTTCCTTCGACTAAACGTTTTCTTTTCGCTCACTCAGAAAGACGATATACACCGAACGTCTTCAAGCCTTTGGCCCGTGGGGATCGCATACAAAAGGTGAGTTAATCTAGGGCTTTCGTTTTGATTTCACGTTCAGCCACTGCCTAACAAATTTTTTTTTAAATCAAAGGCGCCAACCCCCTAGCCTTACAGATTTAAAATGCGATCAGGGTTGCCAAAAGGATTTAACGTCTCCATGCCCTATTCTACCCATAGCTGACCACGATTTTTCTTTTTTTACATTTGGTGTGTGTGTGTGTCTGTGTGTGTGTTTTCAAGATAGCCTAACAAATTTTGATCATTTTTATGCATGTGTGTAATTTTTTTTTGTTAAGTACGTGGTACCAAGTTAACGTCCCACAACAAATAGAAAAGAAAAAAAACCAATCATTCCAACCCATACACCTAAAATTGGTTGGCATTTTTTCCCTAACAGTTTTTCTTGTTTATTTGTGTTTCCTTTTTTGTCCAGAATATAGTTCCCGGAGACATCCTGGCACTCCCCTACAGTGTCACCTTCCCGCCAAACGGTTGCCCTAACAAAATCGAAAAGCTAGAGAGACAAACGGTCTTAAAACCAAACATCTAAATATATACACGCGAAGAAACAACAACAACAACAACCGCGTCCCTGCCTAGCCGCAAGAAGCTATGGAAACTGTAGGCACCTAATCTCGAGGCGGCCGCGACATCCTGTATGGGACAAAAAACACAGTTAGTACACTTGAGCTAAGCTAGTCCAACCTCCTCCACTCCATCCAACATCCAATTATTTTATTGTTTTTCAATAATTTACGTTTATTCCCTAACACCTAGGCGCATTTCTATAATCGTGGCGGACTGCGTCCGGGGAAAGTGTGAAGAAGCTACAAAAAAAATGTACAAAAAAAAAAATCCTACCTAAACCAGAAGCTATAAATTCCTAGCAAAAATTACAAAAAAAAAAAGAAAAAAGTGTTATACGACACGACGATCCCCAGACAATCAGTACACGGGCCACTTACCTAACAAAAGTATTAATAGAAATTACCTGCCTCACGCGCGCGTAAGCTAAGGAAATTCGCGTACAATAGGGGGGGGGGGGGGAGAATAAGCCCTGACAGATTAAAAAGAAGGCCACCTCCTCCACTCCGACCGACCACGTCGACAAAAGCTAAAGGCTCTAGCTAAAATGCTATTGCGGATTCCCTAACAGCGGAACGCGTTTTGGAAAAAAGATAAAGTTCCATAACAGTTCGGACTTGCAACCAACCAGAAACCAGACAAAACAACCACCATCGACGATAGCACAGGTTGAATTTTGAATAATAATTATTTACGTTAAATCCAATAGTCGAAAATGATGGTGTTCTCCAGTGGATTGCATTCCTCCTAACCTTAAAAAAAAAAAAAAAAATTTCCGAAAGAGTATTTAAAAGAGAGAGAGAGAGAAGCAAGAAGATAAGGGATAAAAAGACGCGGATAGCCTACGCGCATCGGCGAAACCCTAGCGTCCGTATGTCTCTCAACGCGAAGTCCCTAGCAATCGATAGCATGCATTTAACAAAGAGCTTGGATCATTGGCTTCCAAGAATGGCGGGGAACTGATGCTAGTCTAAACTTTGTGACAAGCCCGAAGGAATTGTAGGATGTATAATCAAGTCATCTGAGCCTCCTTGTAAACAGGTGGATGGCAACAAGAAAATATTTAGTCTTCCTTCGACTAAACGTTTTCTTTTCGCTCACTCAGAAAGACGATATACACCGAACGTCTTCAAGCCTTTGGCCCGTGGGGATCGCATACAAAAGGTGAGTTAATCTAGGGCTTTCGTTTTGATTTCACGTTCAGCCACTGCCTAACAAATTTTTTTTTAAATCAAAGGCGCCAACCCCCTAGCCTTACAGATTTAAAATGCGATCAGGGTTGCCAAAAGGATTTAACGTCTCCATGCCCTATTCTGCCCATAGCTGACCACGATTTTTCTTTTTTTACATTTGGTGTGTGTGTGTGTCTGTGTGTGTGTTTTCAAGATAGCCTAACAAATTTTGATAATTTTTATGCATGTGTGTAATTTTTTTTTGTTAAGTACGTGGTACCAAGTTAACGTCCCACAACAAATAGAAAAGAAAAAAAACCAATCATTCCAACCCATACACCTAAAATTGGTTGGCATTTTTTCCCTAACAGTTTTTCTTGTTTATTTGTGTTTCCTTTTTTGTCCAGAATATAGTTCCCGGAGACATCCTGGCACTCCCCTACAGTGTCACCTTCCCGCCAAACGGTTGCCCTAACAAAATCGAAAAGCTAGAGAGACAAACGGTCTTAAAACCAAACATCTAAATATATACACGCGAAGAAACAACAACAACAACAACCGCGTCCCTGCCTAGCCGCAAGAAGCTATGGAAACTGTAGGCACCTAATCTCGAGGCGGCCGCGACATCCTGTATGGGACAAAAAACACAGTTAGTACACTTGAGCTAAGCTAGTCCAACCTCCTCCACTCCATCCAACATCCAATTATTTTATTGTTTTTCAATAATTTACGTTTATTCCCTAACACCTAGGCGCATTTCTATAATCGTGGCGGACTGCGTCCGGGGAAAGTGTGAAGAAGCTACAAAAAAAATGTACAAAAAAAAAAATCCTACCTAAACCAGAAGCTATAAATTCCTAGCAAAAATTACAAAAAAAAAAGAAAAAAGTGTTATACGACACGACGATCCCCAGACAATCAGTACACGGGCCACTTACCTAACAAAAGTATTAATAGAAATTACCTGCCTCACGCGCGCGTAAGCTAAGGAAATTCGCATACAATAGGGGGGGGGGAGAATAAGCCCTGACAGATTAAAAAGAAGGCCACCTCCTCCACTCCGACCGACCACGTCGACAAAAGCTAAAGGCTCTAGCTAAAATCCACCATCATTTTCGACTATTGGATTTAACGTAAATAATTATTATTCAAAATTCAACCTGTGCTATCGTCGATGGTGGTTGTTTTGTCTGGTTTCTGGTTGGTTGCAAGTCCGAACTGTTATGGAACTTTATCTTTTTTCCAAAACGCGTTCCGCTGTTAGGGAATCCGCAATAGCATTTTAGCTAGAGCCTTTAGCTTTTGTCGACGTGGTCGGTCGGAGTGGAGGAGGTGGCCTTCTTTTTAATCTGTCAGGGCTTATTCTCCCCCCCCCCCCTATTGTACGCGAATTTCCTTAGCTTACGCGCGCGTGAGGCAGGTAATTTCTATTAATACTTTTGTTAGGTAAGTGGCCCGTGTACTGATTGTCTGGGGATCGTCGTGTCGTATAACACTTTTTTTCTTTTTTTTTTTGTAATTTTTGCTAGGAATTTATAGCTTCTGGTTTAGGTAGGATTTTTTTTTTTGTACATTTTTTTTGTAGCTTCTTCACACTTTCCCCGGACGCAGTCCGCCACGATTATAGAAATGCGCCTAGGTGTTAGGGAATAAACGTAAATTATTGAAAAACAATAAAATAATTGGATGTTGGATGGAGTGGAGGAGGTTGGACTAGCTTAGCTCAAGTGTACTAACTGTGTTTTTTGTCCCATACAGGATGTCGCGGCCGCCTCGAGATTAGGTGCCTACAGTTTCCATAGCTTCTTGCGGCTAGGCAGGGACGCGGTTGTTGTTGTTGTTGTTTCTTCGCGTGTATATATTTAGATGTTTGGTTTTAAGACCGTTTGTCTCTCTAGCTTTTCGATTTTGTTAGGGCAACCGTTTGGCGGGAAGGTGACACTGTAGGGGAGTGCCAGGATGTCTCCGGGAACTATATTCTGGACAAAAAAGGAAACACAAATAAACAAGAAAAACTGTTAGGGAAAAAATGCCAACCAATTTTAGGTGTATGGGTTGGAATGATTGGTTTTTTTTCTTTTCTATTTGTTGTGGGACGTTAACTTGGTACCACGTACTTAACAAAAAAAAATTACACACATGCATAAAAATGATCAAAATTTGTTAGGCTATCTTGAAAACACACACACAGACACACACACACACCAAATGTAAAAAAAGAAAAATCGTGGTCAGCTATGGGTAGAATAGGGCATGGAGACGTTAAATCCTTTTGGCAACCCTGATCGCATTTTAAATCTGTAAGGCTAGGGGGTTGGCGCCTTTGATTTAAAAAAAAATTTGTTAGGCAGTGGCTGAACGTGAAATCAAAACGAAAGCCCTAGATTAACTCACCTTTTGTATGCGATCCCCACGGGCCAAAGGCTTGAAGACGTTCGGTGTATATCGTCTTTCTGAGTGAGCGAAAAGAAAACGTTTAGTCGAAGGAAGACTAAATATTTTCTTGTTGCCATCCACCTGTTTACAAGGAGGCTCAGATGACTTGATTATACATCCTACAATTCACTGTCCTTCGGACTTGTCACAAAGTTTAGACTAGCATCAGTTCCCCGCCATTCTTGGAAGCCAATGATCCAAGCTCTTTGTTAAATGCATGCTATCGATTGCTAGGGACTTCGCGTTGAGAGACATACGGACGCTAGGGTTTCGCCGATGCGCGTAGGCTATCCGCGTCTTTTTATCCCTTATCTTCTTGCTTCTCTCTCTCTCTCTTTTAAATACTCTTTCGGAAATTTTTTTTTTTTTAAGGTTAGGAGGAATGCAATCCACTGGAGAACACCATCATTTTCGACTATTGGATTTAACGTAAATAATTATTATTCAAAATTCAACCTGTGCTATCGTCGATGGTGGTTGTTTTGTCTGGTTTCTGGTTGGTTGCAAGTCCGAACTGTTATGGAACTTTATCTTTTTTCCAAAACGCGTTCCGCTGTTAGGGAATCCGCAATAGCATTTTAGCTAGAGCCTTTAGCTTTTGTCGACGTGGTCGGTCGGAGTGGAGGAGGTGGCCTTCTTTTTAATCTGTCAGGGCTTATTCTCCCCCCCCCCCCCCTATTGTACGCGAATTTCCTTAGCTTACGCGCGCGTGAGGCAGGTAATTTCTATTAATACTTTTGTTAGGTAAGTGGCCCGTGTACTGATTGTCTGGGGATCGTCGTGTCGTATAACACTTTTTTCTTTTTTTTTTTGTAATTTTTGCTAGGAATTTATAGCTTCTGGTTTAGGTAGGATTTTTTTTTTTTGTACATTTTTTTTGTAGCTTCTTCACACTTTCCCCGGACGCAGTCCGCCACGATTATAGAAATGCGCCTAGGTGTTAGGGAATAAACGTAAATTATTGAAAAACAATAAAATAATTGGATGTTGGATGGAGTGGAGGAGGTTGGACTAGCTTAGCTCAAGTGTACTAACTGTGTTTTTTGTCCCATACAGGATGTCGCGGCCGCCTCGAGATTAGGTGCCTACAGTTTCCATAGCTTCTTGCGGCTAGGCAGGGACGCGGTTGTTGTTGTTGTTGTTTCTTCGCGTGTATATATTTAGATGTTTGGTTTTAAGACCGTTTGTCTCTCTAGCTTTTCGATTTTGTTAGGGCAACCGTTTGGCGGGAAGGTGACACTGTAGGGGAGTGCCAGGATGTCTCCGGGAACTATATTCTGGACAAAAAAGGAAACACAAATAAACAAGAAAAACTGTTAGGGAAAAAATGCCAACCAATTTTAGGTGTATGGGTTGGAATGATTGGTTTTTTTTCTTTTCTATTTGTTGTGGGACGTTAACTTGGTACCACGTACTTAACAAAAAAAAATTACACACATGCATAAAAATGATCAAAATTTGTTAGGCTATCTTGAAAACACACACACAGACACACACACACACACCAAATGTAAAAAAAGAAAAATCGTGGTCAGCTATGGGTAGAATAGGGCATGGAGACGTTAAATCCTTTTGGCAACCCTGATCGCATTTTAAATCTGTAAGGCTAGGGGGTTGGCGCCTTTGATTTAAAAAAAAAATTGTTAGGCAGTGGCTGAACGTGAAATCAAAACGAAAGCCCTAGATTAACTCACCTTTTGTATGCGATCCCCACGGGCCAAAGGCTTGAAGACGTTCGGTGTATATCGTCTTTCTGAGTGAGCGAAAAGAAAACGTTTAGTCGAAGGAAGACTAAATATTTTCTTGTTGCCATCCACCTGTTTACAAGGAGGCTCAGATGACTTGATTATACATCCTACAATTCACTGTCCTTCGGGCTTGTCACAAAGTTTAGACTAGCATCAGTTCCCCGCCATTCTTGGAAGCCAATGATCCAAGCTCTTTGTTAAATGCATGCTATCGATTGCTAGGGACTTCGCGTTGAGAGACATACGGACGCTAGGGTTTCGCCGATGCGCGTAGGCTATCCGCGTCTTTTTATCCCTTATCTTCTTGCTTCTCTCTCTCTCTCTTTTAAATACTCTTTCGGAAAATTTTTTTTTTTTTTTTTTAAGGTTAGGAGGAATGCAATCCACTGGAGAACACCATCATTTTCGACTATTGGATTTAACGTAAATAATTATTATTCAAAATTCAACCTGTGCTATCGTCGATGGTGGTTGTTTTGTCTGGTTTCTGGTTGGTTGCAAGTCCGAACTGTTATGGAACTTTATCTTTTTTCCAAAACGCGTTCCGCTGTTAGGGAATCCGCAATAGCATTTTAGCTAGAGCCTTTAGCTTTTGTCGACGTGGTCGGTCGGAGTGGAGGAGGTGGCCTTCTTTTTAATCTGTCAGGGCTTATTCTCCCCCCCCCCCCCTATTGTACGCGAATTTCCTTAGCTTACGCGCGCGTGAGGCAGGTAATTTCTATTAATACTTTTGTTAGGTAAGTGGCCCGTGTACTGATTGTCTGGGGATCGTCGTGTCGTATAACACTTTTTTCTTTTTTTTTTTGTAATTTTTGCTAGGAATTTATAGCTTCTGGTTTAGGTAGGATTTTTTTTTTTTGTACATTTTTTTTGTAGCTTCTTCACACTTTCCCCGGACGCAGTCCGCCACGATTATAGAAATGCGCCTAGGTGTTAGGGAATAAACGTAAATTATTGAAAAACAATAAAATAATTGGATGTTGGATGGAGTGGAGGAGGTTGGACTAGCTTAGCTCAAGTGTACTAACTGTGTTTTTTGTCCCATACAGGATGTCGCGGCCGCCTCGAGATTAGGTGCCTACAGTTTCCATAGCTTCTTGCGGCTAGGCAGGGACGCGGTTGTTGTTGTTGTTTCTTCGCGTGTATATATTTAGATGTTTGGTTTTAAGACCGTTTGTCTCTCTAGCTTTTCGATTTTGTTAGGGCAACCGTTTGGCGGGAAGGTGACACTGTAGGGGAGTGCCAGGATGTCTCCGGGAACTATATTCTGGACAAAAAAGGAAACACAAATAAACAAGAAAAACTGTTAGGGAAAAAATGCCAACCAATTTTAGGTGTATGGGTTGGAATGATTGGTTTTTTTTCTTTTCTATTTGTTGTGGGACGTTAACTTGGTACCACGTACTTAACAAAAAAAAATTACACACATGCATAAAAATGATCAAAATTTGTTAGGCTATCTTGAAAACACACACACAGACACACACACACACCAAATGTAAAAAAAGAAAAATCGTGGTCAGCTATGGGTAGAATAGGGCATGGAGACGTTAAATCCTTTTGGCAACCCTGATCGCATTTTAAATCTGTAAGGCTAGGGGGTTGGCGCCTTTGATTTAAAAAAAAAAATTTGTTAGGCAGTGGCTGAACGTGAAATCAAAACGAAAGCCCTAGATTAACTCACCTTTTGTATGCGATCCCCACGGGCCAAAGGCTTGAAGACGTTCGGTGTATATCGTCTTTCTGAGTGAGCGAAAAGAAAACGTTTAGTCGAAGGAAGACTAAATATTTTCTTGTTGCCATCCAC